TAACTTCTGTGTTGAATATTATTTATCAGTTGTTAATCTAGATGGGCAATGATTCACCAGATTTCAGCATCACATTTAGAAAACATTGAATGACGTGAACATTCATGAAAACACTCAAATACATCATGAAATATAATAATGCCCTAAATAATTCTATATCGTTGCCTTATTATGTTCTGATAACGAGTTGGACCGCCTCCGTGTTCTAGTGGTAGTTCGATCCCCGACCGCGTCATACCAAAAGACGTTTAAAGATGGTACTTGTTGTTACCCTGTCTGGCGCTCGGCATTAATGGGCTAAAACAAGGACAGGTCAGCTCGGAGTCAGTATACTGTGTCTAAGTAGGGTATTCATGTTAAACTGCGGCATGGTATCTCAGTGAGCTAGCACTATAAATCGGCATCAGTCCGGACTAGTACAAGCAGCCACACAAACACATACACGTACATGCACGTCGCTATATACGTGCAATAATCTTGGACGCGACGTTAAACCCAATTTCACCTCACCTCACCTCTGATATCGAGTTAATAATCAATGGTATATGTGATCGTCACACAATGTATTCAGTGAGTAATGTAAGATTGGCGTGCTTTATTCGACCGGAGTTCACACGGAATTAACTACTTGCATTTATTCAATCATTCCCAAGCCGCTTATATTATCTCAGTGTTGTCAGAACAGAGGAACGTCCATCATCTAAACATGACATGATCACCAGATCGTTTTTAAAAGTCAAAGTTAATAGAAACAATGCTGTATTTGTCAAATCAATAGACATAAGTAGACGCGACAAAGTCCACATCCATAGTCATAAGAATCTCTGTCACTGTACGATTCAGACAACGTGTACATCATTCGTTTGTTTGTTTGTTTTTTTAACGCCGCGCTAAGCAATATTCCAGCTATATGTAAATCTGTAAATAATCGAGTCTAGACCCGACAATCCAGTGATTGATATCATGAACATCGATCCACGCAATTGGGATACGATGACATGCATCAACAAAGTCAGCGAGCCTGACCACCTGATCCCGTTAGTCGCCTCTTACGACAAGCATAGTCACCTTTACGGCATGGGTTGAGAAGCATTTGTTCATGAATCACTATCAAATAGTGATGACACCAAGTGTTCGAGAAGGCGAGCGTATCCTGCACCTCTTGTTACAAACACGCACTAATATAAGGCAAGTCAATTGCTCACCTGAACAAACACCATGTGACACAAATCAAATTATACAAATACAAATCGGGCTCTATTTTTGTCACTGATGCGTCACGTTTTTTTAACTGTCCTCCACGTGTCTACCATAACACTTTCTGAGAGCTTTATTCAGGCCTTGAGCAACCTTTGAACAAGAGTCTCAAATCTTCGAAGAAAGAGCATGCATGATTGCATCTCAAAAGTTGTGAAAAGTAGACATCAAAGGCTGGAGCTGCTGGAATCTGCTCCAAGCAATACTACTTGAATAGTAGGAAAATATGGGGGTATGATTATTCCTACAATGGAACGTCCAAACAAACAAATCAGATTGAATACTTTACAAATCTGGTCGTTTTTCTTTCCACTTAACACAAATATGAATTATAAAGTTTGAGAACTTTGCAAATCCTTAAACCAAGGAAGTTATTTGCCCAGTGACTATTTACCGTCTCCTCGGTGTCCCACTGAATCAACAGATGTAAAGGGCCTTCCACTGTGGGTCATGTTGCTCACTGATGACGTCTTCAGATAACATAACTTGTGGTAACACTAGTCTATCTCCCGTCTCAGTCACCGGCAGAGTCTATCTCAAAACCCTAGAGAATATGTTAAAAAATAATCTAACTCAAGTGGTTCTTAATGGTAACCTAAATCTGAATAAGTCATCATTGAATCTGTTTATATGTTTATTACTAAATCTAAAAGATTTGAACAAGGTTAACCATTTCTACAGTGTTCTATAACAGTGTGTATGTTAACTGCGAAAGTGTTTAAAGAAGTAATATTTTACTAAGTCTTTTATCGCAATGACAATTATGTTGGTGGTACATGAGTTGTAAATAAATTATACCTTTTTTTATATTTTTACAGGATATTTTTTTTTATCTGTGTATTAATAATGCAATGTATATATGTAATCATCGGGAACGGTATTGATTTCAGCATTGTTTGTTGTTTACCAATCCCCATTTCATTCTACATGTATGTGATGAAATAAAACTATGTGTAAACTATTTATCAAGTCTAGATTACCTAAGCTTTGTTCTGGGCTCCATTTGGATTTTACTTTTATTTTTTGCTACGATAACTGTATTTGTGGGGCACTGCACTGCACTGTAGTACACACGAGACTAACACTGATAAGGGAATGATATACTCCGAGTTCCAGGAAGTCCTTGTGGTTTATATTGCATAAGGGGCGGATACAGCTCTTCAGAAAGTGGGGAGGTACAAAGAGCTTTGGTAAAGTAGAGGTGCAATTTAAATAGAAACAAATATGAATGAAAATAGTTTACAATTAACTTGTCAGCCAAACATAGGCCAAATATTCTTATTTTTGTTGAAAGAATGTCATCAAATGATAAACGCTAATCATTTAATTCCCCACACCAACCCATCCTACCCGGTTTCATGTTTCTAGCTTTTCTCCTGTTTCGCGTGTGTCTCTTATTGTAATGTATTAGTATTCAGTTCTCACTTCTCATCTTCAGGAACCCATGCTTGCCGTAAGAGGCGACTAACGGGATTGGGTGGTGAGGCTCCCTGACTTGGTTGATGCATGTAATCGTATCCCAATTGCGTAGATCGGTACTCATGGTGTCAATCACTGGATTACCTGGTCCAGACTCGATTATTTACAGACCGCTGTCATACAGCATATCGCAATCCTCACCCTTCATCTCTCACTCACTCACTCAGTACATATTATTTTAATTATTTGTCCTCAAGTAGTGGTCGAGCGAGTATGGTTTTACGCCGCTCTTAGCAATATTCCAGCAATATTTCGGCGGAGGACACCAGAAATGGTCTTCACACAGTGTACCCATGTCGGGAATTGAACCCGGGTCTTCGGCGTGGCGAGCGAACGCTTTAACCACTAGGCTACCCGACCGCCTCTTTTTCCCCAAGTAACTCCAGACTGTCATAACTTCTCCCTCCCCCTACCCACCCCCTCCACCACCCTAGCGTCGCGTCCACCACTCGAGTTCAGATAACATGTGTTGTTTTATTTCCAGCTGAGATAAGTCCCCCTCACCGTGTACGTACCTCCTCAGGGCTGCGTCTTAGCAACTCCGACATGGGCTTAACACAAGGATAAGGTCCCTCCTATTGGTCCATATGAAGAGCTTACGGATTAACTCATTGACAGTTTCAGATCGATTTCCTTCCGTGTTAAAATAGCTAGTGAAGTATTTGTATCTATATGTCTGATATGACTCCTGGTTAAGCCCTTTAGATGAACATATCTACCTTTGCTTACCTTTAATCGATATTCAATCAATTAGTAAACAGAAATACCATCCCTGTTACCTCTGATGAGAACAAATTGAATTGTTTACTGAACTAATACTTACAGTAAACTACGGTTATAACGAACTCAAAGGGACTACTAATTTTAGTTCGTTATAACCGTAATTCGTTATAAGCATATATACAGAATAACTACAGCATATAGTCGGGACTAAAAAGTTAGTTCGTTATATCCGTTAGTTCGTTATAAGCGTGTTCGTTATAACCGTAGTTTACTGTATTTATATGCTGTCACATTGAACGTATATACACTGCCGGGCAAAAGAATGTTTTCACTTGATGATTGAATTTGACCCTAAGATTACACGAGTTGTCAAAACTTTACTAGGTTGAAATCAGTCACCGAAAGACAGCAAACTTCAGGACCCACTTGTACAAAGAGATCTTAGCGCTAAGATGATCGTAACTCCCATACCTTAACATAGGCTTGCAATAGTCGCAAAGATCGCTTTGTGCAAGTGGGTCCTGGCCCAAAACACAACTGTGATACCAGTATCCAATATATCCCCACTGAATAACCATTTCTTGCTTTTTTCATTTTTAGTCGCCATCAAACATGGTTGTATACTTTCTTTTGTCCGGTAGTGTATGTACGTTCAATGTAAAAGCACATAAATAATTATTAGTTCAGTAAACAATTCAAGTTTGTTCTATTCAGACACAAATCTTGCATGCGTGAAATTGTTTATATTTTATATAGGTAAATATTTAACGATAATATTAATTCAACCTCTGCCTCATAACATTTTTTAATCATAACCAACACCAAGGACATGACACAACAAGGTATTAGTGTGTTCAACATGTGTCCTACACGCTGTGTAATTTTCCCATTATGACATGCCATACCTGTGGGGTATTTGGTTGCCAGATCTACCTGTGATCAATCTATCCCCTAGGTACTTCTCCCCAGCACACCTGACAGGTAAGAACTACTGGTGTTGAGTGTTACCTATTAAATTCAGTGGGTACCACATCAGGCGTAGCAGGCACTTCATGGCCAACGTTGTTGGGTACAATTACACTACCAATAAATCAGTTTTGTTGCACAGCTGGTGAATTAGCTACTGGTTACTGCACTGACCCTCTGTTTGAACGGCACGTTTAGTGGACCTATAAATCTAACGTGTATCAGCCAGTTTCCTGCAGGTGTGAGTCATTTGTGCATATGCACGTTTATTTATTTATTTATTTATTTATTGTTTGTTTGTTTGTTTGTTTGTTTGTTTGTTTGTTTGTTTGTTTGTTTGTTTGTTTGTTTGTTTGTTTGTTTAACGCCGCACTCAGCAATACTCCAGCTATATGAAGGCGGTCTGTAAATAATCGAGTCTGGACCAGACAAACCAGTGATTGACATCATGGATGAGATTACTCTTCAGTAAGTGGGACAAAGTGGTTATTTGTTTTGAGCAGTAGTGTAGTGACACAAACGTTATGATTCAATACTATAGGTATTAACTAAATTCTTTTTCTGTTTATTTTCAGACCACTGTGTTTTTAAGACCCCTCGTTCCAACGGCATCCCCAGAGCGTACGGGAAACTCCCCTCCCTCCGAAAGAACGGGAAAAGGGGACACGTGAGTAGATATTTACAACATTCCGGGGAATAGAATTTGAACTGTGTTGTTTGTTTATCAACGCGTCTCCCCGTCTGCCTATATTGTCCATACCACTTTGATTAGATCGTCCGTACTGTTGATTGCGTACCAGGACGTCACGACCTGTTCGGTTGAAATTCGCTTTTTCTTTCACAGCTCCTTTCGACGGTGTAGGTGCAATGCTGTTGCACAATTGTATTTTCATGGCGGATCCCTCCGGGGTTTGATTTTTTGTAATTGTTTCAGGCGTCTTAGATCGATACAAGTAGGTCACGATGACACACTAGTGATTAAATCACAGCAACACGACAAACTTACACCGAAGGAGAAACATTCTTCACCCAGCATGGCAAGAGCATGGAATTCACGCTGTATCCGAAATAACTGATGATTCGGCAATTCCAGTGAATTGAGTTACTTTCATTTTTGATTTCCCGTACGCGTACCCCCCCCCCCCCCCCCCCCCCAACATCCCGACCCCTGCACCACCACCACCTCCTCTCTGAGCACACACACAACACACACACAACACACACACACACAACACACACACAACACACACACGCACGCACACACACACACACACAACACACACACAACACAACACAACACACACACAAAACACACACACAACACACACACAACACACACACAACACAACACAACACACACACAAAACACACACACAACACACACACAACACACACACAACACACACACACACACACACACACACACACACACACAAATATCTTTTGAAGCATACTAAATAATTATATATTTGTACGATGATGTACAAACGTATTAGAACATCATAATAAAATTATTATCTGGTATGTTTTCAACAAATTTAACACGACAACCAAACGCCAGTTGTATCATGAATTAAATGCTACTCCTGTCCGTCTGACCATACACGGGCCGCGTCATATGGCTGGAATGTGGCTGAATACGGCGTTAAACAACCTCAGACACATGGTTGCATTTGACTTCACTGCGGTGTTCCATAATTTGTTGATTGTCTGGGTTAGTCTCATGCTGTATGTATTAATAATACATACTCATAACATATTTCAAACATATTTCAAACTGGGATCGTAATGGAGTGATGCTTCTCGACCACAGCTAAAATACCACTTACATAAATCTGTGGTCTCTTAAACCTCGTACCTTTAGACGGTTTGATTTTTATTGTCTGGATGAACGAGTGTCTGGGGTATAACAGAGAGTACAATAGAGATCTATAGTTAATACATTGTTCATGTATGAACGAACCCGTCCAGAGCGGGATTGCACTGCCTAGCGAAGAGTGCCTATATTAACCTAGAATGTGTCCTTGTTTGTTTGTTGTTTAACGCCGCACTCAGCAGTATTCCATCGTTGTTATTTACTTCAGTGTGAAAAACTGAGTGTTTCGAAGTGGAGAAAAGTGATACTTTCACTGCAGTGATCAGAACACTTGATATTTCAATGCAAAGAACATAACACTTGATATTTCACTCCAGTGAACATTACACTAGATATTTCAATGCAAAGAACATAACACTTGATATTTCACTGCAGTGAACATAACACTTTGACGGAACTAATGTCATACAAGAATTACCTCCCCTTAAATTGTCTCCCTTTAGCGTAAGTGTCTAGCCCGTACACAAACTGTTGACTTGCATTTTACTTTAGTTCCACATTGACAAGGCAAAGTAATGGCAGATGGTCATTTATGGAGTTAATATCGCTTCTTGCCGTTTGTTATTCTCTTGAAAATATTTCGTTATCAACTGTAAATTTCTCATTTAACTCGGCAATCGAGACTGTTTGTTTCGCAAAGCGCCATTTCTTAACCAGGTGTATTATTTCGCATCCAACAGCGGTCTCGTAAATTTCAAGAATAATAATATTCTAAAAGTATAATAAAGAATTTTTGTGACCTTAAATATTTTTTGTTACTTTTGTTTCTATTTTTTAAGATTTTGCAAACATGAATCTACTTTTTAAGTTGCAAATACAAGTGGCGGTGAACCGTCCCTGTGTGTTGGGGAAAATTTACGTTTCATGGGTTTACATTTGTAATGACATAATTTAATTTTCCGGTAGACAATCACACAAAAAAGTATATAATAAATAATATGTTCGATGTATCTCGTGAGAGATCATGTTTCTCTCATCTCGTGACTCGACACTTAAAATATGCTCAATATATGACGGCGGTTTGTACATAATTGAGTCTGGACCAGACAATCCTGTGATTGACATCATGGGCATCGACCTCTTACGACAAGCATGGGCTGCTGAAGACCAGTTCCCACCCACATCTTCACGGGTGTATTCAATCATATGTCTCTACTTAGCGGACGTTTCATCATTATGGGAAGTTGTCATTAACGCAATGGAAACAATGTGGTTATATTTGTTTAAATTTAAAAATTTAAAAAAATAATAATACGGTGTAAAAGACGTTTATTCGGGTCTTGTGAGAAATTATTTCAATTCCCCTGTAAAATAATTACCACAATAATAGGCCCCTATCACAAAGGTGTTAATTGTTATGGGCGTTCTTTTTTTCACAATTCCTATCTAAATAATTCACACATCCAAATTTTTTTACCTAAAAATACAATCTAAAAATACACGAAAAATGTTGGCCGAGACGTGTTTGCTCGCCCTTCTTAAATTCATGGTGTGGTCGCTCGAGATGAGCCCCTGCCGAAGTCATTCAATGGAATGATTTCACTGAATAACTTCTTAAACGATCGCTTTGATGCCATTTAAAACAAGGCTAACTGGGTCATGCATTTAACAGAGCTTTGCTTTCAGATCTCTTTTCCTCAAGAGGTATCATATAACGAAGCGGCAGATCCTATCAATGGGTACAGAGTACCAGTCTTTTATCAGTTAACGGACTCCATCTATCAAACAAACAAAAAATATACGGTTAATTGATATACAGCGTTGAGTGTTGACAAAGGTCTGCAACCCAGGGCTCAGTCTGCGTGGAAAACAAATTTCGATGTTTGATCAACCGACAAGTTGTTGGGGCATGACGTCAACAATTTAGGTTTATTTGGTTAAGAAAGCATTAATTTTCTGTTCCTTTTTTCGCAATGTCTGTGTATTATTTTAATAACAATTTCAATGTTTTGAAGGTGTTTTACTAAATATTTCCATTAAATATTTCTCCGATAATTTACTTTCCAAATATTGATTTTAACCAATTTAATTTTAAACTTTCGAATCCCGGTTCGCTCTGATTATGTTTTTAGTTTTGCAAGCACCGTACCTGTGGCCATGGGTTTCATGAAAATGATATAATAAACGCCTAAGACCTGAATTCTGAATTTCCTCCCACATGAAGGTCATACGCTGAAACAAACGCTTTACAACTGACTGAGACACAGAATTGCGTTCCATTGACACGCCAGAAACCTATGATTGTGGGTTCGAATCCCTTTTCGCCCCGATTAAGTTAACTTTCTAGATTTGTCAGCACCATCACTTCGGGCTTTCCTCACACATTAAGCTGACACGCCATGATATAACTGAAATACTATTCAAAGCGGCGTTAAACCCAACTCACTCACTAAAATTATAGTAATCGAATGAAATGCTTGAGGTTGCTTTCAAAAAGTGTTATTGTTGACAAGTGGATGACATTTCGAAATTTTGACGGATCAGTGACAAAAACTTATGTCAGATGCAATTCCAAATTTTGACGTGTACCATATGTTCCCGTGATTTTCTGGTGACAAATTGACTCGCTTTGCATGTGTTTGTGACGGGTGCCACCTTTGGGGCAGGATATGCTCACCTTCTCGCGAACACCAGGTGCTATCACTGTTTGATGGTGATTCACAAACACAAGCGCATGATATAGTCGAAATTGTACAATCGACTCTGCTTTTGGCAAATAATTCTAATGAATAGGGTAAGGGTTTTGTCTCTTTTATTTATAAACGAGTGATTTTACTTCCGCACCTTTCAACATGTCCGGAAAATGTGAACGGATTTATTTCCCTTAGATCATTTTCCCATTTCAATGCCAGCTTTCTCAGTCCTCCTCCAGAGCTGCGAAATCAAATATAAATCACATTTCTTTCACAATCATCTGTCATAAAAATAGTTCGGCATTTCAGTTAGTGACAAAAATAGAGAAAGGAGACATTTTTCAATATAAACTGACTATTTTGATGACTATCTTAGTCTGTTCCACACCAATCAACATATTTAATGTTCGTTTATGTTATTATGAAACAGAGACGAAAAAACAATTCTCTACCTCCATCACGTGTAAAGAGACATTTAGAATTATGATTCCGGGTTTGATAAATGGGTTCAATACACAAGACATTATTCTACACAGACTAGAAGGAGACGTATGTTTATATTATCCACTTCCAACTCACAGAAATATTGTTTATTGCGCCATGACTAATTTTATCTTGCAAGGCTGGTATATAACTATGTTTACGTTCTTGAAATAAAAAGCTAGCTATAAGATTTTATCTTTATGCAAATGATAATGAGTTATTCACGTGTTTATCAGTGATGATTCAAACGCCTCGATGGTTCTGACACCCTTTGTGTCGCCACGAAGAACACGTGCAATATTTTATGCCCAAGAAGCGCCATCTAGCGGCTGCAGTTCTAATTTCGGAGTCTCTTGGTATCAACCAGCAATCTTTACTTTCCCTTGATATCAATAAATATCGATCTGCCTCTTCTGATCGAAAGATTAAGCTTAATCATCGATATCACTGGCGTTGGACCTCCCTCGCTCCCTGCGTACGTGCGATATTGATTTGGAAATAGTTTGGGTTTAATTACCGTTAATGACCTCATAGCACTTGAACCAACAGCAATTACTTTGCACGGACTTCTCGTGGCTTCGGGGTTGCAAGCGTCGTTTGGAACAATATCACATTTGCCCTTTTTATGGCCGAGAATAATATTGGCTTCACAACGTAAATGAACATCGCTCCATT